AGTATCTTCTTTTGCATGGTCAGCATGGTCAAGTCTTTCTATTCGATTTTTACATGCGATGATGATGTGACTGTTGCCAATAATCTATTTTTATTTGGGAGTGATGGGGTTTTTTTTTAATAGCAATTTTTTTTTTGTATTTGAAACAAATTAAAAGTCTTTTCTATTTGATAATATATATATATATATATATATATATATATATTTAAAACAAATTGCTATTAAAAAAACACACCATCAGTTATATTATTGCTAGTTCTCTGCCCGTGAATTAATATCTTTTCAAATTAATTTTTAATACAAGAGAGGAGATTTTTATATATCATATAACGAGAAAAAAGTACTTATGTCGTAGTAACTGATCTAATGCAAGAATTATCAGGTTTCATTTAAAGTCTGAGAGAGTATGAATGCGATGTTATTACAATACAGTAATGTTAATCATGTTACCTTTGCCCTTCCTAAGGCCATAGTAAGAACGGTGTAGACTATTTGCATGATTGCCATCACAAAGATGAATATATTGAGCTGATTGACCCCGCTTTCTGATATAAGAGATGCCATTCCCTGAAACATTTAATCCACGTACTAGTTAGTACTGTTCTGCTGATTGTGTGCGGGGCACCGCGCAAATTAACAAGAAATCCTGAGATGGGATGTGTGTGCAAACCCTTGAGCCACAATAATCCGAGCCGGATTCAGCTGCCAAGATCCTCTCTTGTGTTGCTTTGGTGGTTTTGATTATGGTTTGACGGCATGGTAGCATCCTGTTTGCAACCTTGTCCGGTATGCAGATTTTGATGATGGATCTTTGAGTTACTGTCAAAATGAGTGACATGAACCCCAGCACCATAAGCACTGTGTCCACCAGCCAAACAGAGATCGTCGTCAGTCCCTAACCAGGCCATAAATTATACGGGAGAATATTTAACAGCTCTAGCTATCATAAGCGAGCTGATCACCTGATTTGAGCTTCTCCAACGCCTCGTACAAGGCAGTCTTTCTACTTTTTTTCAGCCACTGCAACAGTACAATTAATGGTGAAGGAGGTTAACTTGAACTTGAAATCACATGATTTTCTAGTGCTTGTTGTTGGTGGCAGAGAGTTGACTTACTTGGCTAAGGAGGTGGATCAGGTACTCAATGAATATGCCGGTGAAGATGAAGAAGAAGCAAACGGTTGCCAGAGCCCAGGTGGGGGTGTCTTGCAACGAGCGGTATGGGGTTGAGCCTGTACTGTCCGCTCCTCCCACAGCCATGGCGGG